CAAACACAATTGCTACTTGTAAAAAAGGTTTGTGTTTATTCTTTTGCTTACGGTGAAGTTTAGTATCAACATTTTCTTTTGAAATCCACCAGGTATCTTTTTATTTCTCCACCAGCTTAGGTATCTATAGACTAAGATGTGCTCTTTAATCATGTCATTTGAAAAGGTGTCACTTAAAATAGTTTATGTGGGATTTTGGAAAGAACACTACCCTTTGTGTGAAGCAGCTTGGTAAGTGTGCTTCTGTTCTGAACGGCTCCAGTTATTAGCCGGCTGTGCGTTTTATCACCAGCCACCTCGGCGAGGTTCATTTCCCCTCTCGTGCTGATAAATGTAGCAAGATGATCTAGTGCTTCCTCCCTCAGATCAAATATTTGCCCCAGTCATAATCGGGGGTGTTGGATGTTGTTAATTTGAGGTAGGGGAAACATGAAGGCTTTTAAGTGTTTGATGGGGGTTGGGCAGGGTTCAAGGGTCAGGGCCGCTAATGACAACGTGTTGAGGAGGGCTGGGGTCCGCGTCATGAGAGCGGCTCTGTTGGTGGTTTCATCGGTGTTGTTTTTTTCCCTCCTCCTCCATCCAGCTTTCTCGCTCCTTTTTCCCTCTTTCTTCTTTGGTTTATATGCGTCCTGTTGGCTTATGTCCATCTGAGCTGATCTGGCCCAGCTTTGTCCACTTAGCATTTCCTGTGTGTAAAAAGCTACTTAATGGCACCACGCCACATGGTGACCGCCATCTCCCTCACGCTCACCCCTACACACCCGCTTTCCCTCTCAATACGAGCACGATCGGCTCTGCGTGGGCCACCTCTGATTTAAAGCATCCCATAATTAGACATTCCATAGCCGGTGGTCGCCACGGAGAGAGGCTGGTGGAGGATCCACATCCCCTCACGTTACAGCTTCCTGTATTGATTGCCGGGCCCTGTGATGACGAGGGCCTTGTTGATGAAAAGGAGGGCTATTTCTATCCAGGATGTTGGAGACCGTATTGATCGCTGGCTCCTTCCTACACACACACACACATACACACACAAACACACACACACTTGAGCCATAGGAAGATATTTATTACATATAAGGAAGCTCGTAAGCATAATCAAGCCATTTTTAGAGTACGTCGGTATCCATTTTGTTGGCTCAGTTTCCATACTTTTCAGGATGACTGTAGCGGCCGGTGGCTCTGAGTTAAAGCTCTGGAGCTGGTGTGGGGGCGGGGGTGCGATGGCTATACCACTGACCCCCGGATTTCTGCTGCTGACCTGTGGGGCTCCTGATCAAATGGGGGTTTTGTTCCTGGGCTCCCCCCAGGTCCAGCCGCTGATCAGGAGTTGCTCCTCCATTGGAGCTGAACAGAATGCGCTGGAGGCATTTCCATGACCGCCCCCCTCCCCTCTCCTCCTCTGGACTCCCTCCCTCATCCACCACCCCCCTGCTCCAGGCCACTCCTCCATTTTGTGTTCTCCCTCTCTCCTCCTCTGACGTTCTTTCGTTCCCTCTCCCTGTCCGTGCCCTTTCCTGACCTCTGTGCGTAAACTGAAACGGGTCCGGACACCCGCCAGGTCACCCGAGATGAGGGGTCTCAAGTTACAGGTTCTGATTTGTGACTTTTTTTTCAAATGTAGTTTCTCACACACACATTGACACACCGGCACACACACACACATGTAAATCCACATGCTGCTTTTTATTACGTAAGTGTGGAGAGACCTAGCCGCTGCCAGCCCATGCTCCAGATATGAACCTCATCTGAGACATGAGTGTGTGTGTGTGTGTGTGTGTGTGTGTGTGTGTGTGTGTGTGTGTGTGTGTGTGTGTGTGTGTGTGTGTGTGTGTGTGTTCCTGCATTTCGGCAGAACAAAAGAGGTTGTGTGGTTTCTTCACTGGTGCATTGACAGGGTTGAAGAGGGGGTAGGGTGCCGAGACAAACCACTCAACTTTGACCTGGAGAGACAAGCTGCCTGTGGACTGAAGACAGGACAGGAACAGGAAGGGCTCATGCGCCGCACGGTCTACAGACCAGTCTGTGATTATTCATCATTATTCAGTATATGTTTGTTTTGTGGGGGATGGGTGCAATTTTTGATTCTCTTTCAGCTGATTTCTGCTGCCTTCTAGTAATTTGGACGGCCTAATGATTGTAATCATAAAATCAATTTGGGTTTTATTTTGATTAGGCATGGGTCTGACTGATTGAGGTTCCTTGATTTGTGGTTTTAGAACGATAGGAAGTCAGTTTTGGTTCATGTTGTTGCAGTTCTTAGTTGATTAATAAATGATCAATGCTTGGTTATTGTTTTTTTTTTAGCACAGCAACTCCTAACCTCCAGTACTTGATTATTGTCCTTTCTTCAAAGCCAAATCCAATATCTGAAAACCAAAAATGGATAAGTCCTTCACAAGCAATCACCTAAAAGTCCAGTTGTCCTTGCTGTTACCCTCACTGACAGGAGAGAAAGAATCAAAAACAACATGAAAAAGGGAAAGGGACTAATTTTGGGCCACATTTTGTTATTGAGCACCAGCCACATTATCAGTCATTTTCCTTTGTTATAAATTGTTTAAATGGAAAGAAAGAGTCAATTCAAAAAGTTAAGATTAAAGGGAAAAGAACAGTTTTTTTGATTATGTTTCATATTTGTGCAAGTTTAATTTTCACCACAATTTGGTCCTTTTTTCCAGTATGAAGTGCCTTTGAATTTGGGAAAATGTGGCCTTCCAGTATACCCAGAATAAATGATGATGTACTAAAAAGATACACACATTATATTTAAATAGAATAAAATAAAACGAATGCATCAAATTCATGATTATAGTTTAATTCTATCCATGCACAATATACATTTCATGGCCCTTCAAAAAACACGTTTAGTATAAGTCTTTGTAGTAAAGAGAAGAAGTTGTTTGAACAGATTTTCAGATTTTTTTAACATTGTTTTAACCTATCTATATCTACATATTTTTTGTTTAAAGTTAGTTTCAAAGCTATTGTAGAAAACTAACTCATCTTAGTTCTTTTAATAGTCAAAATGTCAATTTTCAGGGTGGATTTTCGTGAAAAAACACCTTTTTTAAAGATAACCTAAAACAAAAATTAATAAACTTTAAATTCATATAATTCAATAATTATACTATATATATTGTTAAACATATTCTTCCAAACATGATGTGATATTCTTGGCCTATTTCAAATTATTTAATTTGACTGACTTAGAATTAAAATGTTTCCATGCGATGGTTGTCACATTTATTATGCAAACCTGTATTTGGAATTTTTTTAATCTGTATTAACGGCTGCAAAATAATTATTTCAATATGAGTTTACTACGATTTAATTGATTGTATTATGAACAGTTTGAAACATAGAAAGCTTCTGAATGAAACACAGTTTAAACTATAACACAACATCCTCATCCTTCGTTTCTAAAAGCATATATTGAAACTCTAACACAAACCCTAATTTGTTACACTTGAATCTTTATGCCATTAGTAGTCAGATATCCTTCAGAGTACAATGAGCTCAGACACTATTCTTAGCTTGATTAATTAATGACCACTTACTCTCTTCTCACTGCTTTTCACCTTCCCATCTTTTCTCTCTCTTTTATTCACATTACTTCCACTAATGGATCGCCTTAAGAACTCCTTTGTTGTTGCATTTGTTGACAGCATTTGAATGCAAAGAAAATGCTGCTGAGCACATTTGCTCTCCTTCCTGTATGGTTTACATTTAACTTGTTCCTTTTTCTACATCTTTCTCCTACACATCCGGGAATTTACAGAAAGCCTGTGTGTTATTTATAGGCCTCGATGTATAGTAGGTTAGCTCTGCTCACTGCACACTGCGTGCTCGTGTGGGTGTGTGTGTACCTACCGAGATCTGCAGGGCGGATGCCATTCATGAAGGTCACGCATACAGTGCCTATCAGCCATCCGTTCTGTGCCGTCAGCTGCACATAAATCATTGTGCAGTGGTTATGTAGTAACTAGATCAATAATGCCGATCATGTAGATAAGAGGGATGGTGGATGTGTGCTGAGAGAAAATGATTGCGATGTACTCGTCCTTTCTCCCTGCACAAAGGAATAGGAAGTGGTGCCTCTGCGAAAAGTAGATAAAGGGAGTAAAGCAAGGACGCTGTGTGTGAGATCTCTGTACACACACTTTTTTCTGGCAGTTGGTGTAAACCACAGACAGTCAATCCACCATGTTGGAATCATGTCTTTCTGTGTACACGCTGTGCTACTGCAGTGTGTACAAGCCTCCGCAGTAAACTGTTGATTCTTCTGCCACAATTATTTAGAGATACAAATGTTGATCGGGGACCTGGAAAAGCTCTCAGGCAGCTGTTCATTATTTAAGTGTTAAATTAGCTCTGTGTGTGTGTACTCGCATAATATTAATGCTGAGCTTAATGCTGGGCGGACAGAAGTTAAGAACCAAGGCGTTAAAATGTTTCTTTTCATTGAAAAATGACCTTTTCTGTTCAATAAAGAGGCTCTTGACATTTGTAATGCATACAGGCTTTGTCTGGTTACTGTATCGTTTATGGTAATGTCAACAAATACACAGCAGAAGCAGTCGGGGTGAAGTACATCTTGATAACAATTTGTGTATGGAGTCTTTCAAAACAACATTTTGGAGAGCTTTGTCTCTTGAAAAGCTTCAAATGTGTTTCAGCATTATTCACGCCTTGAGTGACGAATATATATACATTTTCATGTGTTACACTGATTTGTATTACAAAATCATATATATCTTGTAAAAATGATATATCCAATCATAATTATTGTTATATGAAATGATATATTATCAATTATCTCCACAGAAACAGGTGTAACTTCATGCTTTTATACTGAAATTAGAGCAAATTGAAGTAACATGAGCACTATCATATTATACTTGTATCCTACATCAAACCAGACACCACCTGATATCATTTAGACCCTTGTGTATTGCTGGATTTTTATCATGTTTTCAAAGAATACATTGAGCTATAAGCGCCTACATCTTTTAAACTGATAATTGCTTTTCTCTCCCGACAGAGCAAACTGCTGATGGAGGGTTTCCGCAGCTTAAAGGAGGGAGAGCAGGTGGAGTTCACCTATAAGAAATGCTCCAAGGGCCTGGAGTCCCTGCGGGTGAACGGGCCTAGGGGGGGGCCCTGCGCAGGCAGCGAGAGGAGACCCAAAGCCAAGGTCCCACTCCAGAAACGCAAACCAAAGGGAGACCGGTGAGTGATTTAATTAGTATTATTTCCAACAACATCAAATTGTTCATTAAACTGAACACACCTATAAAACAATGAAAGGCATATTTTAAGTGCGTGCAGTCTTTCGAGATTTTTTTTCTTTTTTTCTGCGTTCATTGATATCTTGACAGTAAGAAAATGAAATAGTGTGCAGCCCTATCCTATGTGTTGTGAGTCAGCAGTAATGTAATGTTTCATTTAAAGCAAACTGAATATATGTGACCGTTGGCAGCCTGCATTTAGAAATCACGGCTGCCTATAGCAGAAGGAGACATATGCTATATGTACATCTCACTGCAGTGAGCTATTTGTGAGTGGGCTGAGATTATAGATTAAATCTATTCAATCTGCCCGAGTACATGTCTGTTGCTATGGTTATTGTGCACCATAATAAGGAATTGAATAGGGCACTTTGCCTGCCTTTGCCGCTATTTTAAATCAATTTGCCAGCTTTTACTTTAGAGGCGGCGTTAGCACAGGGATGGATTGGGCTAATATGCATCTCAATGCGGCACTAGCTCAATCAATTGTTTTGTCCTCAGTAAAATCCTGAAGGACACTTTGCTAAAAATCTGTCAGAGCGAGCAAAATAGAGCTCCTTGAAAACGCCTGGTGGTTTTAACACGAGAGGCTGATTTCCCCGTCCTCCTGTTGACAGGGAGTCATGTTTAGCAAGCGCTGCCAGGAAGTGCTGTATATGCTGGATACGTTTGCGGGAACACATCACATGACCACTCTAAGGCTGCATTTGCATTTAAAAGTCCATCTCTGCTACTCTTTGTGCTGCATCACAGCTGCTGCAGCCCTGAGTCGCCCTGTTTCTAAGGTGTGAAAAGAAAAAGCTTTTGTTAGAAAAAGGGAAACCGTATCTGAGGGAAGGCTCCCTTATTGTTTTACACAGCTGAATAATTCAGTTTATTTGGGATAATTGATCCAGTGTTAGGTCAAGTGTCTCTACCTGCTGCTAAGGTGGTGTTGGATTCAGAGATGGCAGGTAGACGTCTGTGATGTCATCGGGTCTTTGTGAGCGCTCAGAGCGAGCGGTTAGCTGCTCTGACCCCTGCTGGTCACCCTGCGGTGCAACCCAACGTTCTGTAGTCCACCCTTTACACTGAGGTCCTTTAACTCTCTTAAAGATGTTTCGATGTGAGACTTGTGTTGAAATGTCACGTTTTTGTGGAAATAGTAAACCATTTTTTTTTTTTCAAACACAGTTTACTAAATAAAGATCTCAATTTAAATCAAACACATAACTGTTCAATTAAATGCTTTATTTCTCCATTTTCTTATTATCTTGGTTATGGTGGGGTGGTATCAGAGGTGGTTTCCTAATAATAATAATAATAATAATAATACAAATATTAATTCATGTTTAGATTAATTATTCACAATAAATACAAGGTTTTAAAGACGATAATATTTTCAAAATAGTTTCTTTAAAGAATACCGTATTGATTCTTTATTGATAAAAAAACTGACAACTTCTTTATTTCAGTTTTTCTAAAATATGAAATAGATTTTTGGGCAAATCATTTTCTGTAAATGTAAAGCATTTCTATTTGAAAGCCTTTGATTTAATTCAGCTGAGCTAAAGCTGTTTTTTTATAAATGAACAGTAAACCTCAAAATAGAATATTAAATATAAATATACTACTTCATCATTGTTAAAAACATCTTAATCTGATGTTTGATTATTCATTTAAACCATGCTATTGAAAGTATTTTGTATTCATACTCTTATGAACCAGGTTAGAAGCACTTGTGTGACTTATTCATGGTATATCAATGTAATGCTTTAATTAAGAGGCATTGCAAACATAATCATCAGAAATATCCATCCATCTGTCCATGTGGATAATTGTTCAATTCTCTCTGGACATAATCCAGCCTCCTTCCAAAGCAATCAGGACTGAAACCGCCTTCTTTGGAAAGTCCTGGCAGCATTTGTTTTCTGGTGAAGTGGCAGCATTTGACTCAAAAGCTCATTTTGTTAATTGGCTGTGAAACTAGATTCAATACTTAAAACGTTGATAGTGAACCATTGTTTCGTGATCATGTACTGCTTTCATGTTCTACCTAAAGACAGCATGACTCTGTTTCAAATCACCACACGGGAGAGTGTTACACTGTGTGCTATTATAGAATTCAAAACACTGAATGAATCACCTGGTTAAGACTTTATGGACAGAGAAGTGTTGAGCATCAGGTTAACAAGGAACAGACATTAAACCGTGAAATGAGAAATCAAGCCTTGAAGAATAATAATAATAATAATACATGTGATTTATAGAGCGCTTTTCCTGGTGCTCAAAGCGCTTAAATATACAAAGAATACTTCATTCTTAAGAATACAAGCATCTAATGTATTAAAGAGCCAACACTCCATTTGATTTGATGTGGTTCATTTGGTGGCATCCTTTTTGGCTTTAATCTTTTGGCCTACGCTTTATTATTTTTTAAAATCTTTCTAGCACCCAATTGCTTTCTGTCAAATGTAATAAAGCAGTATCGATGTGAACGCCACCGAGTGCTCGTCACATTTGATCCGGAGCCATACTATGTGTTATGCTGCCATCTAGTGTTAAATCCTAGTTGGAGCCGGTGTTTCAACTCCGCAGCGCTGGTGTTTAATGAGGATATACTTTTTTCTTTTTTTTAATAGAATAATGTTTTGATTTTGTTAGAACATTTTCCGTACAAATACTGAATAAATAAGTAATGAAAGTGTAATTATAAACATATACATACTTACAAATTCCTGGGCAGCTGTGGTAGAAGTGTCCAAAGGCAAGATACTGAACATACATGTTTTCAATGTGTGTGTATCTCTCCTAAGGGACACCTGTGTATACATACAGTACATTTACTATTTCATAATGTGATGAAGTACTTTGTACTCTTTATTGCGGTGGATAAAATGTTATTAGAATTATAAGCATTTACTTTCATTATACAAGTACAACAAGAAGAGTAAAGCTACTCATTTAAGGTGCCATCAAAACATTCAGAATAGACAACATACAACAAATAAAGTGAATATCTTTGTGTGTATAATAAATGATACGTATTGCACATGTACGGGTTATTGTTAATCCTGTGTTCTCTGTCTTTCTGCAGCTGTTATAACTGTGGAGGTCTGGATCACCATGCCAAGGAGTGTGGCCTGCCCCCCCAGCCAAAGAAATGCCACTACTGCCAGAGCATCACGCACATGGTGGCCCAGTGCCCCCACAAGGCGCTGGCCCCCGCCTCAGGTTCTCAGGACCAAAATGTGTCTACCTCTACGGGGCCCTTCCTCGGCCCGCCGGAGGAGGAGGAGCGCTCGGGCTCGTCTCCCCTCGAGGGGTCCTCCTCCTCCCCCGAGGAGCCCCAGCCTCCCCGCGGCCCCCGGACCCAGAGGTGGAGGAAGTCCTGAAGACAGCCCAGAGAGGTGTGCCGCTCACCGCTGACCCCTGACCCTCATGTCTCCCCTCAATCAAGGATACCTGAAGCCCCCCCCACCCCCACCCCCTCATCTACCTCACACCTGTGAAAAAAAAAAATTGGGAGGTCTTGATTTCTTTACTTTTAATGTCATTTTTTTATTTTTCTAACCAGCGCAGCTATGGCAACGATCCACGGGGTACAGACATGCGTGAATGTGTGTGACTGACTTGCAGTCATCTGGTGCAGCTATGGCAACCACCGCTGGAATGGTGACTGCAGGGATCGACTGTTTTTCTTGTTTCAATCAGTGCAGCTCAAGAGTGAAACAACGTGGTATGAATCTTGTGTTTTTTCTTTCTTCTCCTCGGACCTAGGTGTTGGCTTTTTCCCTCACACATGTCGTTGATTGAAAGCCTCCAATTTCTATCCTGTAGGCCTGAAAATCATGCTGCACACACGGTAGCTCATTTCTAAGACTTTGAGAAGCTCCAGACCCTCTAAGTGATAATCCAGACCCCCAGGATTGTTAGCTTAGTTTGTGAAGATCTGTAGGGACCCTTTTCAGAGGGCGCTTTTAAAAGAAGATGAGCTGCTGAACACATTCTTATAAATCTTTAAACACTCACTTCCAAACTCTCCCTTTTCACGAAATAGACCGGACCGACTGATTGTCACAGTGTGTTTGTGCATGCACACGCACGACTGAGAGAGGGGAAAAGAGTGTGTGTTGGTATGCGTGTGTTGTGCTCCGAAACAAAGCCTCTCTGTCAGACTGGCCCCTCCCCCCCCCAGGTGCGAGTCCTCGCTATTAACGATTCAGTTTCCTATTATTAGAGATAGAGCAGTTTAGCTAAAACCTCATATAATCCATAGTTTAGATTAAACGTAATGATCATTAGACTTCCACTTTGGTTGTTGTATAATTAGTTAAAAAATAACCTTACAATTTATAAATCATAGTATAAGTAATTAATATATATGTAAAGTCACAAGATATAAATTCTATTAAGTAAAGCATATATAAGGAATTAGCTCTGACATAGGTAAATAGCCCTGTATATTGTATGGGATACTTTTGTTGGTGTGTGAAAACTTGTACCTCTCTCTCTCTATTTAACCGTTTTCATCCATGACGTACAATGTATTTACTCCTTCTCCTTTTACTTCAGTGCAAGGAGTCAGCGCTGACCTCTGACCCCGCACACCTTGGTGCAGACCATTACAGTGTCACCACAGCTGCTCTACTTAATACCTCACCTATTCTTCCCTAGCTGTTTGCTCGCCCAGCTGTGTTGCAGTACGGTCGAACCACCTGTTCCTCTTCCATCTGTGCCTACCAGTTGTTAGCTAGCACCAGCCAGGCGTCGCTCACCCCTCCACAGGATGGAGACTCACTGAAGAGAGATAGAGAGGGAGGGAGAGAGAGAAGGAGTGCTGCTTTTGGTATAACTTGAATCCCAAGCGTGGCTTTAGTGGCACTTATTTGTGACCTTACAACTCTTCTCTGACCATATTGAATGTGAAAAGAGTTTACCTGAAGTCGACGCCTCACAAAGTTCACGTCAGGTCGCTTTGGAGTTGTATCTTAATGTTCTGACAAATCAAATAACTTTGTATGATGATATCAAACTAGCTTGTGTGTTTTAAAAAAAGCTCTAAGTAGACAACCAACTTAATTTTGGTATATTTCTATACCAAAGAGTTTGGCTTTTATTTTTTGAAGGCGTTTAAAGGTAAGATTTTCTTGCTGTCTCTGCCCTTTCACAATAAGAGGGAGTTATTGCTGAAAGCGCAACACTGCAGTTATCGTTTTTTTTTTTTTTATATAAATGTGCAGCTTTCTGAATGTGTGCGTGCGTTAAAAAAAAAAAATCAAGTCTCAACAATGCAGCATGACAGACAATAAAAGTGAATGACCAAACAACATAAGGAGCACAGCCCATGCTCAGATCTTTATGGAAACAACATCTTTTTGTATGATGTATTTGTACATTTTTACACACAATTCCTCTCAGGATGATGAACTGTTCTCAGGGAATTAACCAAAAAAGTGTATTTTATTCTTTTGGGAATCATCCACTGACTGACTCAACAAACTCTGTTAAGCAATGGTGACGAGACGTATGTCACCGATTCATGTACTGATATTAGCAACTACCTCTTGAGTTCTACATAGTTGTGCATTTCTTTTTTTTTTGTATTTTTTTTTTTGATGAGCTTGTATGATTAACTGTAGGTCTCTAATGTACTGAGGTGTTGTGTGAGAAGTCCCCCAGTGTTGCCACAGACTCCCTGGTCTTCCTTCCCAGATTTGACGAGTTACTTTTTTTCATTTACTGCAAAACCTTTTTTTTTTGTTTACAGCAAAAGCCTACCTCATATGCGCTGTTCCTCCACAAACTCCGTACCTCCTCCCAGACCCCCTTTACCTCCACCATGCAGGTCTTTGTTCATTCAATTGCCACTTGTCGCACTAGACTCGAGTCACACCACATTTGAAACAAATCAGCCCTGAAATGGCTCGTCACTTGTGACTCCAAGTATCTTACAATCAAAGCCCTTTTTTGAACGTTTATCAGAAGTGTTGAGAATGCTTGTCTCACATCCAGGGTGACGTTTCTCTGCCAGCTCTGTTATACCGTCAAACTCATCACTTAGCGGCAGACAGCCAGTGAGCTTACCTCAGTCTGTTGCCCTAGCTATTGACGTGTTAAATATTCAACATACGGTCTGTTATTTTTAGCGTGTTGGTATTTTACCATAACCGTTTTGTAACCACTTCATGTGATAGGCTTAAGTTGGAGAAGAATAGGATTGTACTTCGCACAAGGAGTGCCTATCTCTGTTTTGTTTGTCTCACTCTATTACCAAATCGATTTTTCCTCTTTTTGGGCTCCATGGCCTTGGTCCGCCATTTTTACAGCCTCGGATAATCAGAAGTTGTGTGCTTTGGAGACGACGCCCCGCAAACTGCATTTGTAGTTTAGAGCGACATTTTTAACAGTGGAAAATCAGTAGATTTTGTACTAATGGTGACATTGCATAGACGTCATTCTAAAAAAAAAAAAAAATGTTTATGAAGATGAATATTGTTAAAAGTACTTTTTTAAACTAACTCTTGAGATCAAAGATTGATTTTGCATATGATGGCAGTATTACGGTTCACCCTCAGCTGAGAGAATCACTTTTTTGCAGTGGGCCAGTTACGAACATAATACACAACCGTGGTACAAATAGTGATATTATTGTTGTTAGTAGCTTTATATTTACTTCCAATCAATGTAACTACTGATTGATCTCTTTATTGTCCTGTTTAATATTTGACACAGCAAAGAAACGTTCTTGTACGATACAGAATAATCTTCTTAACGTAGTGATAATAAAATGGTAATCATAGAGGTTTCTCAAGGCGGCATGTAGGATAACACATTTGTAGAATCACATACTTAATATTTTCCACGTGTCTTGAGTTTTGAATTGAACAGTATCATCCATGCAACCATCAAACATTTTGCACAGGGTTTTTACTAAATACCAAACATTGGTGAACATCTGTCTCAGCAAAAGGACCAAACAAGAACAAATCCTAAATGTGTTATCATTTTTTTTAAGACCCCAATCCAAAAAAACATCACTGTGGCTTCTTCATTTTGAAATGTACACCAATCTGAGAGTGAACACTGGTGCATGTCTGCCTTGCAGCGGTGTTATTGAAGAAATGAAATGGCAGATTTGGCGGTATGCAGTGTTCAAAGGCATTGTAGAGATGATATCACTTTTATGACACCATAGTAACAAAGATTGTGATGTTTATTGAGAAACTGGGATGGATCAGATTCATTTTTAAAACATTTTTTTGTTTCTATTAAATGGATTTGTGTTAAGTTAAATGGATAATTCAGGCTTTGTGGTCACATGTTTTCTTTGCCTCACAATCATCGTCTTTCTGAAGTCAAACCAATGTTAAACTCAGATGACTTTGTTAGCACAAACAGCCTTCAGCTTCCACTAAATATGGTGCAGCAGCTCGGGTACTACGCCATCGTTATTTCTGTCTGAAAGTATCAAGCCTACAGCATCAGTCCTCTCCACTCTGCATTTCACAGAAATGTTTGAGCCATGACCCTTCCCCCTTCATACCTCCTCTGTTGAGCGATGAAGTTTAGATCACAAATGCCAAGGGCTTATGGTAAATGTTTTTGTTAAAGGCCGCTAAAAACATAGATGTTGAATAAGCAAAGACATTAGATCGCTACCACTACTGTCCTTATCTAAACGTATAAAGCAAGCCACAGGACATACTATCGAGAGGCTCTGATCGTAGGCTGTGGTTTTAGTAAATAGCCAATGTCATCTAGACTGTCATTTCGGCTCTCTATAAGAAAAAAACGGAAAACGGATGGCATGCATTAGTGCTGTGGAAACATTTTTAAAGTACATTTAAATCGGGCTGATTTTATTATTTGGACAAAAATATTGTCTCAACATTTTTCGGAAAAACGGCTATATTTGACTTTTCTTTTCAACATTTTAGGAAAAGCCTTTACTTTCTTTCGATCAGGAAGATTGATGTCAACATCAACATAATGTATTGTAATGTTTTTATTGGCTTTTTGTAAACCTTAGCTTGTAAAATATCCTTGAAGACGATTGTGATGGCAATGTCTACATTCTTTTACGATCAATGGCCAAACAATACCATGCAAAATGAAACGTAAGCATATCAAAACCACATTAGGCCTGTGAATAAGACGACAAGCCTGAATTATCCATAACAATGTATCACCAGACTCTGGATGTACTATGCCATGATGCCAGGCAGGGAAACCTCAGCTCCCTCATGTGGTTGTGTTGTAGGTTTGTTGCCTCTGTCAGCTGCTCTGTGCTTTGCCTTGACTGCAGAAACAATGTATTCTAGGTGATGATCATTTATGATGTTTATTTTTTTAACTGAACTGTAGTATGTCGGATTCATATTGTGTTAATGTAAATCATACTGGAACATCGGACCTAAAGGA